ATTATCCAGAGCTCATCCACTGAATGCAGGTGCTAGAAGCTGCTGCTTTTCAGCTGCCTTATGCAGAGCCAGCCCCAGCCATGTGCATTAAAAGAAAAAAAGCTACCAAATATGTATCAGTCAAAAACACACTTGGCTGTGGCTCGGGTTTACAGCATTTGCCTGACAGGGGTGAGACCCTGAGCAAGCTCTCCAGCACTGCAAAATATGAGATTAAAAAGACTAATTTCTATCAGGTTTTTTAAATTACAAAGTTACCCCCCAAGAAAAGAAACTGAGCAAAGAAAGGGCTAAAGGACCCTGATGGGCTCCCTGTCCAGCCCTCTCTGGAGTTCCCACAGATGGCCGGTGTCCGCCGAGCTCCGCCTCCTGCCGGACTGTTTCCAGGGAGGAGCAGTCTCGCCTGGCAAGCACGGAAGCCAGGGCCTCGCTGCCCTCCCCCATGGCTCTGACCAAGACAGGGGAAATGGTGACAGGGACAAAGCTACAGAGGCTACCCCTGCCAGACACTGCTAATTTTGCATAAGATTTCGAGTTTTGATGGTAGAGTCAGTGGGAACCTGCGAATTGCCATAGATATACATGGCTTGCTCGTCCCACTTGCTGAGGCAAAAGTCTGTGCTTACTATAAGGTGCCATTGGTAGGACAGAGGCACTTCTCAGCTTGTGTGGGGTTTTTTGGTTTTTGTTTTTTGGTTTTTTTTTTTTTTTTTTTTTTTTTTTTTTTTTTTTTTTTTTTTTTTAGTGTCTGTATGAAGATCTGAGATTTGAAAGAGGAGTGGCCTTGCTTGCTGGGGTTGGGCTTGTCCAGGGCATACGAGGACCCAAGTTCCACCCCAGGTGCCACCAGAACAATTTAAGAAAATAGAGTATCTTGTGGTAGAAAAAGACAGGTGAGAAATTAAATTTTGAAGTTTTTGGGTTTTTGTTTTGTTTTTTCTTTGTATTTTAGGGAAGGGTCTACAGGGTGTTCAGGGTCTCACTACTAGATCGGACTGGTAGTGATCTGCCTAGTTACAGCCTCCCAAGAGCTGGGATTGCAGACGCGTACCACCACGCCCAGCCTCAGATTTTCGGTTTTTGAGGGGTTCAGTCTCTGCAATGTGATTACTTCTCAGTGGGGCGTCATCTTTAGATGTCAAACAGCCTTCCCTGTTGTAGAGCAGCACAGCCATGGAGAGAAAAACCGACTATACTGATAGAGATGAATACTTGAGTAAATAAATGGACAACAGACAAGAATGAATACAGGGAAAACCAGGCAGGGCCAAGTGGAGGTGACAGTAAGGAATGGCTAATAACAGCTACCCAGCCCATCCTCTGCCTGGCAGGGCCAGCGTGGGAAGGCCTGGCTCCCCCTGCCTGTTGGCTTCTGTGGAGGGGGATGGCCGAAAAGGAGAACACAGGAGCCACTGAGATCTCACCTGCAAAGGCCCTGCGTCTCTGTCCCCACCTGTTCCCTGTCTCTGAGCTGCATCCTCCCTGTCACTCCTAGGTGTGACTCGGTCCGCCCCATGCACCTGGCCCTGCATCCTGCCGCACTTTGCCCTCCTCACTGTCTCGCTACCACTTTCCTGTCCCAGTTCACCTCAGCCTTCCCTCCGCTGGCCAGGGGGTGCTTGCACGGACAGTAGCTCTGTTTATTGGTAAAGCTGAGGCTGAGAACCAGTGCCCCGGATGCTGAGACAGGAGAATCGCTTGGAGTCAGACTCTGGCTAAATTGCTAAACTGCTCAGGCTGGGTTCAAACTTCCACCCGCCCCTCAGAGTGCTGGGATGACAGGCCCACATCCGGCACTCACCTCTCTGGAGAAAACTCGTACCCCTTGCACTAGGCCGGGTTCTACCCCAGGCACTGCCCAGTCTGCATCCCCCACTGCATCTCAGTTGTCACCTGACAGTTTGTGGCGGCACCCAGGGGCTCCGGTTCTGCCATAAAGCTTGTGGGGCATTTACTTCCTTTCTACCTTTCTGAGGCTTACCACTTTGCACCCTGTTGGTTATGCTCTGAGGTTTATTGATTGCTCCATGGTTTATTTGGAGATGATTCCCCCCTCCCGCCACCCACCCGCAATGAGATGATTTTATGTTCATCTATCAGAATGGATTTTTAGGGGCCAGGGAGATGTCTCAGTAGAATAAGCACTTGCCTGGCAAGCACAAGGGCCTGAGTTCAATCCCCAGTTCCGCAAAAAAAAAAAAAAAAAATTTTAATCTGCTGGGTTCCAAATAAGAGGATCCCCATCTCAGGGACAGCACTCCCCACAGCAGCGCAGTGCTCCTTACGCCCATTTGCCCACAAATCACCAGGAGCTTTCAATGAGCAAAGACCTGGCTGACCCAGAGGGCCGTGTATATAAATAGTACCCAGGCCTCCTTTAGACCTTCTCTGCCTAATCCTCCTCTCTGAAGACTGCAAATGGCTTGACCTTTGAGTCTTAAAAGGCAGGCTCCCTTTCTTTGAAAATTCTGGTGAGCAAAAAGATTGGATGGGTGGGGCACACCTATAATCCCACAGGAGGCTGAGGCAGGAGAATCTCTAATTTGAAGCCGACTTGGGCTACAGAGAAATAGTCTATCTCAAAAAACTAAAAATGGCAGAGTGTGGTTGTGCATGCCTGTAATCCCAGCGCTTGGGAGCCTGAGGCAGAAATACCACCCTGAGTTCAAGGCCATCCTGGGCTCCATAGCAAGCCTGTCTTCAAACACACACATGTTTTCAGTCAAATGATGACCAGTTATCAAAGCTTGCCTTTCTTTCCTAGCATTTTCAGCCAAATGCTTCCCCTTTATCACCAGCTAGTCTCACTGTTACTCTTTTAAAACACCTACCTTAATAGTTGTGTTCCCTAATAGGCTACCACAGATCTGCATTTTTATGGAGTCTCTTCAGGGGGCCCCTGTGCTGCACTGCACAGCCCCTGCATACAGTCAAATGGGAGGCTGCATGGGGTCTCCTGACCTTTAGCGACTCCTAGAAAATGGAGGGCGAGGTGTGCAGTGAAACTCTCACAGCAGAAGCTGGGCGCATCCCTGCCACCCAGGGCACAGGGCACAGTCCTCGGTGACTGCAGCTCCAGCCCTGGCCCTTTGCCTGGAGACGTCCACCCAGCTGCTGTGATGCAGGCTCTCCCAGGAGGCGTGCCAGAGAGCTAGCACTGTAACCTGCGTCACCTCACCACATCACCTCACCGCATCTGGCTGGAGTTAATTTTGCAGACCGTATCCCCTTTCACAGAGTTGACGTCCTTGCTTGGATCCTGCTTTTTGTTGTTAGTCTTTTTTTTTTTTTTTTTTTTCCTGGCAGTACTAGGGAGTGAACCTGGCACCTTCACAGAGTTACATTTCCTAAACTTACAACTTTTTCTTTCTTTCTTAATTTGTTTTTTGGTGTTTTGTTTTGTTTTGTTTTGTTTTTTTGAGGAAGCGGGGATTGAACTCAGGCCCTTATGCTTGCCAGGGAAGTGCTTACTCTACTGAGCCATCTCCCCAGTCCTCTTTCTAGAAAGAAAGAAAGAAAGAAAGAAAGAAAGAAAGAAAGACAGAAAGACAGACAGACAGACAGACAGACAGACAGACAGAGTCTCTCTGTGCACTTCAGGCTGTGCTTGAACTGGATATGCAGCCCAGGCTAGCCTTGAATTCATAGTGATCCTCCTGCCTCAGCCTCCCAAGTGCTGGGCTGCAGGCATGTACCACCACACCCTGCTTCTAACTCTTTATTTTTTATTTTCAAACAGAACTCAGTTGCCCAGGCTGGGCTTGAATTTTGAATCCCCATTGCCTCCTAGATTATGGGATTACAGATATGCACCAACATGCCTAGCTGCTTCTTCCTTTAGATAGCTTCTGGATTCTCCTATGTTTTCTTAATTTTCTTTGATAACAGCACTTTTTTTTTCTTTTTTTCTTTTAGGGAAGGGCCTACAGGGTGTTTAGGGTCTCACTACTAGATCAGACTCATAGTGATCCACATGGTTACAGCCTCCCAAGAGCTGGGATTACAGGTGTGTTCCACCATGGCCAGTCTCAATTGCCGCCTCAGCGCACCTGGGGCAGGGACAGTATGGCAGGCCCAGGGATCAAACACCTGGCCCCTGCACCTGCTTGCAGGTGCTTTAATCTGCTGAGCTATTTGGCCAGCCTGATAACAGCACTTTGACAGACTAAGCAAAAAGAAAACCCGAGTTAGGTGAGCTTGATGGCACACACCATGGTCATGGCTACTTGGGAAGTTGAGGCAGGAAGATCACAAGTTAGAGCCCAGCTTGGGCAGTTTAGTGACACCTTGCTTGTCCCATGATAAAAAGAAATAGTTGCCAGGCATGGTGGCACATTCCTGTAATCCCAGCACTTGGGAGGCTGAGGCAAGAGGATTGTTGTGAGTTTGAGACCAGCCTGAGCTACAAAGTAGGCCGAAGGCTAGCTTGAACTGCATAGCCAGACCCTGTCTCAAAAAGACAAAAAAAAAAAAAAAAAAAAGGAAAGAAAAAGAAATTGTAGGGACCAGGGAGATGGCTCAGTAGAATAAGCACTTTCCTGGCAAGCCCAAGGGCCTGAGTTCAATCCCCAGTTCCGCAAAAAAAGAAAGAAATTGTAAACCTGATGTGGTGCCCACCTATAATCCCAGCACCTGATAGGCTGAAGCTGCTTACCACAAGGCTTGAGGCCAGTCTGGGCTCAGGACCAGCATAATTATTTAGTAGGACCCTGTCTCACAGATAAATACATTCATAAATGAAATATTAAAATAGAAGTAAGTTTTTAAAATGTTCACTCAAGAGGCTGAGGCAGGAGGCTCACTGCAAGCTGAAGACCAGCCTGGGCTGCAAAGTGAGCTCAAGGCCAGCCTGAGTTGCATAATGAATGCGTGAGACCCTGGGTTGGTGGTGCCTCCGGTGGGGGGGGGGAAGTAAAGCAAGTGTTGGGAGAGTTAATCTGAGACCCAAGTAGAAACTAGGAGCTGCTTCCATGGCCTCTTTCCTTAATCCCACTGATCAGCAATTGGATGAACCTTCGGGACGCTGAGACAGGAAAGATTCTCTGGCAAGGAACTGAAGACCTGTCTGTCCCTGGTGTGGAACATGAAGGTACTTTCCAGCTCTCTGTGCCCAGACTGAGACCAGTGCCAGAGCAGGTCCTGGGCTCCGGGGCTGAGTGAGGGCCAACAAAGGGGCAGGTGGCCTCGGGTGACAGCTGCAAGCCTGCCACAGCTGTGGAGGTGCTCAGGCCCTTACATTTCTTTCTCCTTCACCAAAAACCCATCTCAACATTAGCACATACCCGGAGAAACACAGCAACCTCTCAGCTTTTAAGCCCAAAAGAAAATGCGCTTTTGTCTCCCTGCAGTAAAAGCCCAGGAGAAGCAGGCAGGAGGGCAAAGGCCCTGTGCTAAGGACAGGGCTGGGCCCACCCTGGAAGCCCTTCCCACTCAAGGTCCCTGGGAGCACCCTGGGCAGCACCCAGGGTCAGTGGAAATGTCACCTGTGGGACAAGGTTCCCTATCTTTTTCTCATCAGCCCGCGTTCCCAAGAAAATCCTCAAATGCAAAGCAGTGTCTCGAGAGTTGAACTTCTCTTCAGCAGAGCAAATGGAAAAGTTCCGCCTGGAACAGAAGGTCTACTTCAAAGGCCAGTGCCTAGAAGGTACAGCAGCACCCCAGCCTGGAGTCAGGTGTGGCAGGAGTGGGGGCACAGCAGGGCTTGCAACCCAGTCATTTCATAGCTCGGTGTGTCACAGAGCCTGAGAATCCCCTGGGAAAACAAAGCAAAGCAAGACTTGCAGTGTCAGGCACGTGTGTCCCCTACAGCAACACTGTGGCATGGCCAGGGCCCAGGGTGGGGCTCCACAGACAGCATCCTAGGGCTCCAGCACCCAGGGCACCTGCACTGAGCTGTCCCTGAAGTGCGGGAGGCCGCCTGGCCTGTTGCAGTCCCATTCCGGTGCTGCTAAGGAGACACTGGTGCTTGTGTAGCCCTCAGGCCCAGACGCAGGAGCGGCCGGGCACCAGGCAACACAGGCAGCCTTGGCCCCTCCGTGCCTCAGCTCAAGAGAGCGAGGGCGCCTCTGTGGCGCTGCCCTAAGACGAGGACCCCCACTGGAAGGGGACAGATAGCCCCTACACTTTAGACCTAGCTGTTACTCTCTCCTTCAGAGTGGTTCTTCGAGTTTGGCTTTGTGATCCCCAACTCCACAAACACCTGGCAGTCCTTGATAGAGGCCGCCCCCGAGTCCCAGATGATGCCCGCCAGCGTCCTCACGTGAGTGTCAGGTGTTGCTGCTCTGCTGCGGCAGCCCACAGTCGGCTGGGTGGACAGTGGGGGCGAGGAATGGGCAGATGCCCTTGGTTACAGCCAGGGCAGAAAGAATCAGAGATGAGACCGTGACTCTGACGCACCTCACCCACCTGCTGGCACACAAGCGCACACGCAGGTACCTCAGGCTTTCACCGAAGACAGTCACTCTTCTTACCGAGGAGCTCCGCTGCCCCGTGGAGGGAACAGGCTCCCATCCTCCCACCTGCCTTCCTGTGACATCTCTGAGCTTTTTTTTTTTTTTTTTTTTTGCGGTCAAACTCAGGACCTGTGCTTGCCAGACAAGCATTTATTCCACTGAGCTGTCTCCCCAGCCCCCCATTTTATGTATTTCTTCCTCTTTTTTTTTTTTGCAGAACCGGGGATTGAACTCAGGCCCTTGTGCTTGCCAGGGAAGCACATATTCCACTGAGCCATCTCCCTGGCCCCCATTTTATGTATTTGATACAGGTTCTCACTATTAGATCAGACTCACAGGTCCGATTCCTAGTGATCCTTCTGTCTCAGCCTCCCCAGCGTGAGGGTTACAGCTGTGCTTCACCATGCCCGGTTTCAGTGGCTACATCCATGCACTCTGGGCAGGGCTGGCACAACATATGGTACTGGGGATCGAACCTGGCAGGCTGTCAGACCCCTGAGCTATCTCTCCAGCCCTATTTGGGCTTTGTTTATATCACCCTAACAAAACCAGTCCTGACTCTGTCCTTTGCTCACACACTTTCAGAGGCTCCCTGAGAATTTCCTAGACTTCCTGCTCTAAGTGTTTCAAGCCACTCTGAACTACATAGTAAAACCCTGTCTCAAAAAGACCCCCCATGGGTCTGGAGAGATGGCTCGGTGGTCTAAAGCACCTACTTGAAACAAGCTTGGCAGAGCACAGGGACCACGGTTCGGTCCCCAGCACCACATGCCAGCCAGCCCCGCCCCCTGGTGGGCTGGGCTGGCCACACACACACACAATAAATAAATGTAATAAATAAAAAAAAAAAAAGACCCCCCAGTGGTGGTGCTCACTTGTTTTTTTTTTTTTTTAATTTTTATTTATTTATGTGTGTGTGTGTGTGTGTGTGTGTGTGGCCAGCTCAGCCCACCAGGGGGCGGGGCTGGCTGGCATGTGGTGCTGGGGATTGAACCGCAGTCCCTGTGTTTTGCTTAGCTTGTTCTAAGTAGGTGCTTTAGACCGCTGAGCCATCTCACCAGCCCAGTGCTCACTTGTAATCCCCAGCTCTTGCGAGTCTTTGGAGGCTGTAAACAGGCGAATCACTATGAGTCGGATCGTAGTCGTGAGACCCTGTAGACCCTTCCCTAAAATAAAAAAAAGACACCCCCCAACATTTTTTTTTTCTTTTTTGAAGGTAGATCAGTAGTAGAGTTTCCCTGGCATGCACTAGTCCTGAGTTCCATCGCCAACAGTGAAAATAATAATTTCCTGAGTGTAATGGTATATGCCTGTGTCCCAGCACTTGGGAGGCTGAGGCAAGAGGATCACTGTGAGCTTAAGGCCAGCTTGAGTCACACAGTGAGTTCAAGGCCAGGCTGAACTATACATATCCTAAAGCCCTATCTCAAAAACAATAAAAGTTTTAGTTACCCTAAATCTAAGTGCCTTGTAAAGACTCAGTCTCACCCCCCACACACACAAAAATAGGAATTAGTCCAACGAATAATTGAGGAAAGAAGAAAGAAGGAATATTTGAGCAGAGAGTATTTTTTGTTTGTTTGCCTTGCCAGGGAAGCACTTATTCCACTGAGCCATCTCCCTCAACCGCAAAGCAGAGAGTTTTTAAAGGCTAAAAGGATGCAGCTGTAATCCCAGTACTCAGGCGGCTGAGGCAGGATTACCATGAGTTGGAGGCTTTTCAGTGGGTTCAAGGCCAGCCTGAACTACATAGCATGACCCTGCCCCCCCACACACAAAGGCTAAAAAGATAACCTGCTAAAGATAATTGTGTGATACCAAATCATCTCCTCCCATGGTCCTTTATGAAATCTACATCACTGTGTAAACAGATTGTTTACTTTTTAATCTTTAATCGTTTTTCTTTAATAGAGTTTTCATCACAGTAGTGGCAGAGAGAGAGCCAGGCAGACGGTGGCAGGAAGATGCCCCTGATGTCCTGCCCTTGCAGTGCCCACCCTGGGGGGACAGATGGGGGATAGTGGCTTGGGGGTGGAGGGCAGAGCACATCTACGCAGACTAAGGCAGGCTGTGTGGGCAGTTGGTGCTGCTGTGTGCAGCGCTTGCTGGAGGTGGCGCCGGAGCGAGGACAGCCCGGAGCCCTTCTGCTCTGCACCACGGTGTCACCCTGGGACCCAGATAACACCACTTATGCAAATACCCTGCTCTCCTGTCCCCTCTCACAGCGGGAACGTTATCATAGAAACAAAATTTTTTGATGACGACCTTCTGGTAAGCACATCCAGAGTGAGACTTTTCTACGTTTGAGCGAAGAGCGCACGTGCTTCCGGAACTCGGGCCTAGGGAGGAGACTGCTTTGCTTCCCGCATCTGCGTCCTTGCCCTGACTCATGAGACCCGGGACCAGCCCTGCAGGTAACCAGGTGGTTCCTCCGAGCTCTTCTCCCACTGAAGACAGGGAGGGTGCGGCCAGCACCCAGGCCAGCACCCATCCCCAGCCTCAGCCCCTCCTCTGCCAGCGGCCTCCTTTGGCCCTGGATTTTGGGAAAAAAATGCCCATTTCTGCCCATGTTTAGCTTTTTCCTAGCGTTTCTATTTCATACATTCACATATATATTTAACTTGTAAAATAGACTGTGATATTATTTCATAATGTAATTAAAACATAAATTAAAAGATTCCTACGTCTGGAGCATGGCGCTGCTTCCATCCCTGTTTTGCACAGCAGTGACGCTGCCCTCACGTGGGAAGACGTGCAGAGTAGCTCAGTGGAGCATCGCAGCCGGCTGGGCAGCTCCAGAGGAGGCTCAGCAACCTGCCTGCCTGTCCCCTGCACCTCAGCTGCGCCTCCACAAATGCTGTCAGGAGGGGGGAGCACTCAGACCCGAGGCTGCAGCAGGCATCCTGTCCTCAGTGCTTTGGGGTCTGAAGCAAGACAAAGGCAGGACTTACCTCTCAGTGCTGCAGGCTTTGGGTCCTTCATAAATGCCAGCCATTAAAAGTTTCCTGAGACCTGTGAGATGGTTCAATGGAATAAATGCTTGCCTGGCAAGTACAAGGGCCTGAGTTCAATCCCCGGTTCTACCAAAAAAAAAAAAAA